GTAGCATAAAGAGCATAGTAGCTCTAAAGTACAGTAAACTGTAGGGCTAGTTTAGTCCTACTGACAAGCCATGACCTCCTAACGTATCTACTGAATTCCCTGGATATTGGACAAGTCTGCTCCTCTGTAGATCATTGGAAGTTGAACATTTCCCAGACCTTTGTGAACTCTGGATATTAGTCATCTTGCAGGTCCCCTGTAGTTGTTCCTTTGCCAGTAATTTATTTCCAGCCTTGTGTAGTGTTCAACCCTGTGCATTGGCAACTTACTTTTCAAACCAAGACTCAAGAGGATCCTATGTAGATTTCTGGAGCTTTTTCTGTGTTGCTTCCTCCTTTCTGATACTCTGCCCTGAAAATTCTGTCTTCTCTAGCCCCTTCAAACTCTGATCTCTTTATCTGTAACTCAGCAAGGCTTTCATATTCTGTGCTGTTTTCTGGAAAGAACCTCCAGGGTGAAAACTGGGCCAACATAGTGCCTGCTTCATTTGTTTTTCTTCTTTCAAACACCACAGCCCTGTGTTGTCTGTTATCCAATATGTGAAAGCATTTATTTAATATATAAGTCTTATTTTATAATCCTTTATGTTGGGAAGGTGAGTCTAGTTCAGTTACTCCATCGTGGCCAGAAGTAAGAGTCTTCCTGGTCCCTTTCATCAGTTTTCTTTCTAATTGAGGTAAAATTCACATAAAAAAAATATTAATCATTTAAAAGCATACCCTTTCATCAGTTTATGGGACACCTGGGTGGCTCAGTTGATTAAATGTCTGACTCTTGATTTCTGCTCAGGGCATGATCTTACTGTCATGAGATTGAGCCCCATGGCGCAAGGAGCCTGCTTAGGATTCTCTCTCTCCCTCTCCCTTTGCCTCTTTCCCACTTGTGTGCATCCACACTCACACTCTCTCTCCCCTAAAATAAATAAACATTAAAATAAATAAGTAAAGGCATATCCTTTCATCAACTTTTAAACCAACTGTTAGAATGTTCCATATTCTTCCTATTTTGTCAGATACTTATATTTGATCAAATAAAATATTTTACAGGATTTGGAGCAAGACACTCTCCCATATAAGACTTGAGTTAGTAAAATAGAGCGTCAGTATTCTCTTTCCCAAAGAGTATTTCACTTACCCGAATGGATTCAAATGGGTTTCTTTTAATATGCTGGAATCAGAATCTTATATATGATAAGTTATAGTATACATTACATTTTAAAATGATAAACTACAGTTGATGGGTTTCTTGGGTGAAGTAAATATTCAGAAAAGAAAAAAAATAAAAACAAGGAGGCATTATTAAGGATCACCTCTTTGGGAACAAAAAACAGAAAAAAGAGTTTGATTCGTATCCTTTATTTCAAGCATGCTGTTTTATTTTGAACTTTTAAATCGTGCCTGATTTTTCATATTTGTACTTCTGCTCGCTCGAGGAACTGTTTCTTCAGTTGAGATGCCCATTGTGGTTATTGAGCGCTCTACCCCCTCTTTTTGTGACTCCTCCCCGACTTCAGTAATCTTTAATGGATAGAGAAGGCTGACTCATCTGACTCATTTCATGCTATGAAGAGAAAAAAATTTTTTGAAGAATTGTTGAAGCGGTCATATTCTCTCAGTCTGTGTTTTTGTTAGATCTCTTCAAGCAAACTTGAGAAAGAAATCTCTAGGGACAAATGTGTGAGTTGGCTTTAGGGAGTTTTCTGAAGATGAAACTGTGGAGAGATCTAGGACTTGAAAACTGGGCCCCCATTTAGGGCTTAGAGTGTCCATGATAGTGGAAGTCAACACAAGAAACTGGGGAGGTGGGTGTGGGGTATAAAGGATCACACGGAGCCACATGAAGGAGGTGCTGAGGTGCAAGGTGGCTCCGAATTTAATTAGGTTAAAGTCAGACATGAGATGCCTATAGGAAAACAGCTGAGGCAATTCTTGGCTTAGTGAGCGATTCTTATTTTTTGGATGGGACAAAAACAGAACGTGTATATAGCTTATATATAAGAACAGGGAAGCCACATTATAAAGAGTTTGATCTGTCAAAACTTGGAACTATGAAATCAGATATAAAGACAGATTCTCTATACTATCTATATAGGCGGCCATCTAGAATGCATTAAAACGTTTTTGTTTTTGAAATATTTGTCCACTTTTTGAAAGCTACAGTGTATTAATACATACATTTAGGAGCAAGTAGCATTTCTCTTTATAATTCCTCCTGGGGCGCCTGGGTGGCTCAGTTGGTTAAGCATCTGACTTCAGCTCAGGTCGTGATCTCAGGGTTTGTGGGTTCAAGCCCCACGTTGGGCTCTGTGCTGACAGCTCAGAGCCTGGAGCCTGCCTCGGATTCTGTGTCTCCCTCTCTCTCTGCCCCTCCCCTGCTCATGCTGTGTCTGTCTGTCTGTCTCTCAAAAATAAATAATAAACATTTAAAAATATTTATAATTCCTGCATATGTTAGGAGTGTCCCATGTTGCTCCGCTACTCCATTGCCACTGAAACACTATCAGTGCACATCATTCATATTTGTGTGTGAATCTCATAAAGTCAGCATTTGTTGCTAGCAATTTTCAAGTTAAAAATTTCTTTAGCCCTAAAAAAATTTTTGTTTGTTAGCTTTAGCAGATTTCATCTTTCTTCCCAGTTTGACCCATTCATACATTACATACATTCCTGCGTTACATACCTTCATGTATTAACAAAGGAAAAGTAAAGAAAACATCAACAAGGACTGCTGACAACCTCTACTGGGCTCCTAGGAGAGAGAAAAATACTGTTGACCCTTGAACGACACAGGTTTGAATTGTGTGTGTTATAATTCACTTATAGGTGGATATTTTTCTATAAATACAGTACAGTACTGTAAGTATATTTTTCTTCCTTAAATTTTCTTAGAATTTTCTTCTCTCTCTGTTTATTGTAAGAATACAGTATACAATACATAGAACATACAAAATATGTATTAATCAGCTGTTTATGTTATCATTAAGGCTTCCTGCCAACTGGAGGCTGCTTTTAGGGAGGAGTCAAAAGTTAGACGCAGATTTTCAACTCTGCGGAAGCTCATCCCGACCTCCATCAAGGATCAACTGTACTCCCATCTTGTCTATAGTGAAGAAAACCCAAGACTCAAGGACACCCTAAAACCCTTAGGAATCCTCTGTAAACATCAGAAACAACAAAAGGATTTTCAGTTTTAGCAATGAGCAATAGCTGACTGGACCTTCAAATTGTATGCGTTAGTCTTTTACTGAGAGTTCTGGGCCTGGGTGCCAGATGGTGCGGGCGGGTCACACACAGCAGGGGCTGGGAGCTGTGGTGGCAGCAGCAAAAAAAAAAAAAAAAAAAAAAAAAAAAAGAGAGAGAGAGAGAGAGAGAGAGAGTTCTGCAGCAACAGCTTTGGTATTTCGGGGTTTGGGAGTTTTTTTCTTCCCACTCACATTAGTTCAATTTCTTAAGGTTATGTAGAATTTTCCTGCATTGGATCCTCATCAAAGGTTATTTGCTGGCAAAGCTGGTTTTCCTAGAAACTTGTAGGAATGGTTTAAATGGAAGTTGATAGAAGTCCTGATGAGCAGCTGCCCTGCCTGGAAGAAATTGTGTGTGTGAACTGTCAGCTGCACTGACAGAACTGGGCCAAGATATTTTCCTGCCTGTTAATCAAGGCCCCACAGACAAAGCTCAAGGAAGGATGACCCCTGCCTCAGGAAGTTTTGAATCAGCTACTATTTATAACCAGTATAGTCTGACTTGAGATCAGGTCTTTGCTCACTTGATAAGAAAAGTTCTTTGCCACATTTTACATTTGAGGAAACATTTATGAGCCTAAATGAGTGAAGCCTGTATGTGAAAGGAAGGAGTGTGTCAGTGGCTGTAAGTATTTTTGCCAATTTGGGCCAAGGGTGTGGTGGCAGAGATGTGGAAAGTTCAGTCAGTGACAAAATAGGTTATTATATTTTAAAGCAGCTAATAGTTAATGGCACATTGGATGGTCTTTAGCACTGTGCAGACAGAGTCCTGTGCTGCTCACAGTAAAGCCGACATAAGAGGATGTGAAACGAGGGCTAGTGTTGTCCCCAACATAGGACAAGGGGAAGAAATCAGGTATTCACGTGCTTCCAGACTAACTGGCTCTTCCTCTGGATGCATACATAAACCTTTTAGTTATTCGAGATGTATTTCAGTGTGTGTGCACTTTTTTTAATACTCTGCTGGTCTTTGTTTCCTTAAGAGAAGGTCCCATAAAGAATTGATTTTAGGGGCGCCTGGGTGGCTCAGTTGGTTGAGCATCAGACTTCAGCTCAGGTCATGATCTCGCGGTTCACGAGTTCAAACCCCACGTCGGGTTCTGTGCTGACAGCTCAGAACCTGGAGCCTGCTTCGGATTCTGTGTCTCCCTCTCTCTCTGCCCCTCCCCTGCTTGTGCTCTGTCTCTCTCCACCTCTCAAAAATAAATAAAATGTCAAAAAAATGAAAAAAAAAAGAATGGATTTTAACATTGTATACTACTACATGTAATCTCTTATAAAACCTCAGTCTACCTAACTTTAGGAAATTAAATAAGGCAGAACATTAAAGCTGATAATTTGAGAAATATCACAAGTTAATATTTTCTCTGTATTATATCACCATCTTAGGAATGCCTTTATGGAGTTGAATTACTTAATGGATGACAGGCACATTTTTGCATGTGCAATGTAAACGAATTATTTAGGGATAGATAGAGGCAGTGTTTTAGTAGTCTTTAAATTAGGAAATTCTAAAACTGTGTTAACATATTCTTGTCTCATTTTAATAGGAACATTCAAGATAAAGTTGTAACCATTTTCAACAAGGACCAGTGATCAAAATCCTTCTTTTTAAAAAGAGACTTCCAAGTTAAACATGAAAGGAAAATACTAGAATTGCTTGGATTCTAACTGACAGAATAAAGAATACAGTATTTCACGGTTACTTATGATGGAACCTCAGTAGAATTCACACTTTGTCATGCACCCAACTGGGAACATGGATGCCGGTTTTTCTCGTTCTGCTCTTCAGACCCTGTCAAGAAGCCACTGCAAAAATATCAAACAAAAAATTTCTCAGTGGGAAGGAAGAACGAATGGTATATCTAACCCAGAAAGGTGGCATCCAAAGGACTTTGGAGTGAGGTATAATAACTGTCATCAAGAGATTCTTGAGAAAAATCCTGTTGCTGAGGGAAAGAGCAAAAAGTTGGATGCAGCCAACTCTCAAAATGTCGGTCTAGATATCAATGCAGATGCCAAAAGCCAGGACCAAACTGACGGTGAAAGTGAGAAACATGAAGATGATCGTACACACCCATTTAGAAATGAATCAGAATCCAGTTGGGTATGTTCTCAGGTCAAACAGATTGAAAGCTGGAAAGACGTTTTGGATGCAGAGACTTCCTTACCTCCAGGAAATTTCTATACCTCACAGATACTGTGGAAGAAAATAGAGGCACTTCCCCCAGATAAAGTCTTCAATTTGGCTTTAGAACATTGTGACTCTTCAGAAAAAGAACTGAATTTCCAAGTTCCGGATAGTTCATATGGAATAACCAAGAGCTTAGAAAATATTTACTCTGAACCCGAGGGACAGGAATGTGGACCTTCTATAAATCCTTTGCCCAAGCCTCGTAGGACGTTCAGATATTTATCTGAGTCTGGTGTTGTGCCATGTAAAGAAAGAAACTGTGACAGAAAATACTGTGAAAATAATTCTTGTGCAGAGTCTTCTTTGGCCTCTTCTCAGGAACCCGAACCAAAGAAATATGGCAGACAAATCAGAGGGAGATCTAAAAGGTATGTTTTTATTTGCTAGGTGATGATTTCTAAGCATTGTCCTTACGGAACTACTTCCCTGCATGGGTTAGAGGCCTAGGTTGATTCTACAGATGTTGATTGACCCGAGGGGAAAGTACCTACAAAAGGAAATAGAAGTATAGGTAATATGTAAGACAGTGTATGGACCCAAGAGCATCAGAAAGACTTGAGTATTATATTTTTAAGAATGTGTAGGGATGTAAGTACATTCTTCTGCTTCATTTGGGGCATGCTGGCTTTGGCTTCACTTTTCACTAGTGGGTTAACTTAATAAAGGTACACGATAAAGAACACGAATGTAATTAGCCAAAAGCCTCCAATTTTCTCATGGTGCATGCCTATAGGGTACCAGCCTAGTTTATTATTCTCAAGTATCTGATAAAGCACCTTTGTAATTTTGCATGCAAGTCCTTTACTTATAGATGTCTCACTATCATACCAATTTAAAGAATACTAGAGTTTTAAAACATATAACTTTAAAACATATCTCCTTTCTTAAGGAAATCCTTTGAATTTGAGGATATTCAGCACTTTCGAAATCGGAACTCACAGAAGATTCATGAAGAACTTGGAAGAAATTCTGGCTCAGCACTTTATTATACACAGTCTGAGGACAATATCTATGAGGATATCATATGTATGTGTCCACAAACTTTGCAATTAAATTTAATGAGTATGTATTTGGTGGTGGAACTCTTTAACTATAGGATGGTATTTTGTTTTATAACCATGCACATCTTGCTGGGGAGAGGGCTGGGGCGGGGGGGAGAGGGAGAGAGAGAAAGAATCTTAAGCAGTCCTCACGCCCAGTGCAAAGCCTGGCACAGGGCTTGACCTCACGATCCTGGGATCATGACCTGAGCTGAAATCAAGAGTCAGACACTCAACCAACCAAGCTACCCAGGTGCCCCTAGATATTTCTTTTTAATACGGTAACTTTAGTCATATAAATTCTTTTGTTCTTGAATGGTTTTTACAGTTAGTTTAGTGGACTGCTCAGTTCAGAAGTAGATGTTTAGGTATAGTATTTTGAGAATGCTTTTAGCTCGGTTAGATGCCTGAGTGGTCTATAAACTTAAAGTGCCATTGATTTTGAGACCTACATCCCTATAGCAATATAGAATACGAAGCTGAACATATTCAGTCAGTTCTTTATTTCTTTTCCTAGCTGTAGTCACTTTGTTTCCATTTAACTATGTTTCTCTAAACTTTTTTTCCCATTATTTTTTAAGATCCCTCCAAAGAAAATCCATATGAAGATATTCCAATACAGCCTTTGCCCATGTGGAGATCCCCTTCGGCCTGGAAACTACCGCCCCCTAAAAGTGCTTTCAGAGCACCAAAGGTATGACCAAAGAATTAGTGTAAGAAAACGTTAAATATAATTAATATAAGAAAACATAAGAATCTTGTTTATGATCTCCACAAAAAGATTAAAATGGTTTAACTAGGGCCAAGATGAAGAGGTTCTGAAATACGGGTTTTGTTGGTAGTGGTGGGTTTTTTGTTCTTCGGGGGGGGGGTTTGGGCAGCACACAGCTTTTTGTGTGCTTTGGTTTGGGGGGAGTGTTTTTGTTCATTTACTAGCAGTTCAGAAAAATTAGAAAATGAACACCTTTAAATAAGCCATGAGCTTTTCGTTCCACTGTAGTTAACCACAGCTCCCCCTTAGTCTCACGACAGTCTGTGGCCTAAATTACCTGTCTCATCCCTGAAGGCATTTGTCACCCCTGCAGGCAAAGGCTGCCTGAGTTAATGAGGACTCTGAGCGGTTGTTTTCTGGAAATTTGATTACCTTGTAGTAGAACTTGGGATTAGAAGCCTGAGGAATGTCTTTACAAATGGTCAAAAAAGGAACTATGGTATCCTCAACTGAGATGACTTTAAAGACAAGATAAATCTTTTTCTGAAATAACTTGGCCTTGAGAACATAGGCATTACTTAGATGATCTTACCCTTACTGGTACATCTTCTCCTGTTTTAGCTTCCTCCCAAACCTCAGTTCCTGCACCGGAAGACTATGGAACTGAAGACCTCCCAAGCTTTTTTACGGTCAAAGCTCACAAAGGATACCACTTTGCCTGTCACTTTAACGGAATGGAAGCTTTTCCGAGCTGGAGAAGTTGCAAACAGGAAAAGGAAAAATCTTCCAAGGGTAGGGACTCCAGTACTTTAATTCTTTGACCCTTACTTCATTTCCATAAATGAGAATAAATAAACTTTAGACTGGAACGAATCCTAGGTTAGAACTGATCTATTGGGATGAGAAGATTTGGAAAGCGGCCTTAAATTTTAGGTTTTTGCTCATGAAAGAAAAATGCGTGAGTGGCTTTTGCCAGGGTTTCTCTATGGATTTGGAAAATTGATTTTAGATGGAGGGTTCACTTCATTTACCTTAGCTCTCATTAAAATCAGCTGCCTGTGTCAAGGAAGCACTAGAATCTCCTATAAGAGGACATTCTACGATGCTGGCTTCAGTGTGGTTATTCTCACTCATATATATAATTGCTGAAGGGAACTGTTTTGTGCCTGAGTTTACACATTTTCAGTAATAACAAAATATGTACCTTTAATTTGGGGCAAAAATTTCCATTCAGCGGGAAGAGAAAGAAAATTTGACTCTTGGGAATAGAAATTATTAGCGATTACATTAAATAACTGATATCTCTCTCAAGGGGGAAAAGGCAATAAATCTAAATTATGTTGACTATTAGAACCAAATATTAGCTATTAGAACCAAAATGAAGAAACTGGGATTATTTGTAGACAGATACATGTTTTTTAAGACAGATATATTTTTTTTAAGGAGGGACACTTCAGAAACTGCATGACATTTTTAAATGTTTATGTTACTTGGTTCTTCTGTAATTCAGAATGTTTTCAGGGTAACTATGTAGAAATGAAAAAAAAGAGCAGATCATTTAAATAGTCTTCCTTAATCCCATCTGAATTAGCAATATGTATCCATTTAGCACACAATTTTTGCACCTGATTTTAACATTAAACAAAAGTCACAGCTGTTTCTTGGTTTAGTAACTGCTGATTGGTTCCTTGGGAAATATTCTGTTCCACAGTACTTTAATTCTTCTGATCTATTTCCTGCCCCTCCCTCCTTAATATGTGAAGAGTTAAAGACACACAGTTTTAAAAAAGCACTAAACAGATCTCTGTCAGTGAAACCAAAAAATCCTCAGCTGTTTAATCTCCTGTGTATGGTGAAGAATATGTAAAATCAGATGTTTAAAGAGTTGCTGGGCATTCTACAGTAGTCCTCTGATATATCATGCTGGCACGACAAAGCAGCCTCCCACATGCCCGGAGACAACAGATCATGTGTTCACAGGGGTGAGAATACAAACACAGAAGGAACTGCATTTAAGATATTGTCCTTGGAATGACATTAACAAAATATTTGGGAATAATAGATTGTAGATTTTAATGAGATTGAAGGAAATTTGCAGTTCTTTTAATTTCGTGCCTCAGTATTTTAGGTAATGTGGATCCCCCAAGTACTCAAAGCTTATTCTCTTTCTGATTATGGGTGATATTATCCAACTTTCCTTTTCTAATTTTTCCCCAGTGGTCTTTTTGAGAAGTGAGGTGGGAAAATATGACCATGAACTCTTACTCTTGACAGTCAGGCAGGAACAAGCTGTTAGCATTTCTACTGCGACCCTCCTTGGATTAAATCCTATTAGCATGTTCTACTTGCAAATCAGATTTTGACTTCTCGGTATCTTCAGCAACAACATTCCATCAGGAAAGCAGTTTTCATTTACTTCCCCTTTGATGACTAGAGCTATCCCTGGAAAGGAAACTGGTTTCATAGTTTGAAAATCACTGATCTAGTCCATATGCCTGTTCCCCACCCTTCCTCTCTTTCCCTCCTGTGAAAGCCTGTGTGGGATTGTTTGCTACAATAGATTTCCTACTGTCTCATATTGTCGCGTCAAGTGTGTATAGCAATATGGTTTCTACCATTCCTTAGGAAGAATATTCTACAACATTTCCTACAACCGCAAGGTAACTCTTCCTAACTCATAACCAAGATTTCCATTTTGTTACTTTATCTCATAGTTCTAGAACAGATAGTTCCTTTCCTTTATAATATTTGAGTCTACTTTTGAGTATAATTTTCAGATGCTCATTAATAATTATACTATTTCTGTTCATTATGTCCCCAAAATACATGTTTACTTTCATATGTCTTTCCTTATAGCCCCTAACAATACCTTTTTATGTTGGATTCTCTTGTTTTTTTACAATGGTAATATTTAAGAACACTGGTAATTTTTCACTTGAATGGCAGCTACAAAAATCTTTAAAAGAACAAACGCATCCAAAATGTGGGAATAATCTGCATATTGGAAGCACATGTTTCTCACATGTTATTTTTCTTGTGCTGGACTGATTCACCGCCTATGGATTGCCAGGATTGCTGGAGAAACAAGGACAAAAGAGAAAACAAGAACATTCTTCTCAAACTTTGTTGGCTCTTATGTTCCTAACAGTTGTAATTTGAGGCATTAAATATATTAAATCAGGATTAATAATTAAGAAAAAGCTTGGAATTTTAAGAAGAAAGAGAAATAAACATGGAAAACTAATGAATTCCTCTTTTTTATTTTTTTAAGTTTGTTTATTTAAGCAATCTCTTCACCCAATGTGGGACTCAAATTCACAACCCCAAGATAAAGAACCGCATGCTCTGACTGAGCCAGCCAGGCCTCCCAATTCCTCCTTTCAAAAGTGGCTGTTCACTGGGGTGCCTGGGTGGCTCAGTCTTAGGCTAAGTGTCTGACTTTGACTCAGGTCCATGACCTCACGGTTTGTGAGTTCAAGCCCTGCATTGGGCTCTGTGCTAGCCTGGAGCCTGCTTCAGATTCTGTGTCTTCCTCTCTCTCTGCCCTTCCCCCACTCATGTTCTGTCTCTCAAAAATAAATAAAAACATAAAAATTTTTTTAAAAAAGTTGCTGTTCATCAGCTTGATTTTTTCCTCTTTTTTAAAAAAATTAAAAAAAAATTTTTTTTAATCTTTATTTATTTTTGAGAGAGAGAGAGACACAGAGTGCAAGCGGGGGAGGAACAGAGAGAGAGGGAGACACAGAATCCGAAGCAGGCTCCAGGCTCTGAGCTGTCAGCACAGAGCCCGATGCGGGGCTCGAACTCACGAACCGTGAGATCATGACCTGAGCCAAAGTTGGACACCCAAACAACTGAGCCACCCAAGGCGCCCCTGAAATATTTTTTTACTTGAGTATTGTTGACACATATTTCCTCCTTTTTAAAAGTTTTTTATTTTAGAGAGAGAGAGATATAGCACGCATGCACAAGTTGGGGAGAGGGGCAGAAGGAGAGAAAGAATCCAACTCAATCCCAGGCCCTGGGATCATGACCTGAGCCAAAATTAAGAGTCAGACACTCAACTGACTGAGCCACCCAGGAACCCCATCTTTCCTTTTTGAACCCTACTCTGTGTATGTGTGTCTGTGTTTGTCGGTGTCTATCTGTCTCTTTGACACACACCTCCCAGCAGCAAAGGAGAAAATTCTGAGTAATGTTTTTTAAATGGAACCTGGTTTTCATCCTAAAGCACATTTGAGAGCCTCCTATTTTTATGACATTTGTAAAATAAATTGTAATATTAGTGCTTCCAGTAGCAAAGAGAGTATTTGCTTTAACAAAAGCTTTGTCAGCGTGATTATCTTTTTGTGAAGAATTCCTGGGAACAGAAATAACTGAGCCTTACCCCACCTTCCAAGTGGAAGGAGTATTCTGCTTCTTACTCTGGGTGATAGGAAAGGCTTGGTCAACAAATAGAGTGCATGGGACACCTGGGTGGCTCAGTTGGTTAAACGTCCAACTTTGGCTCAGATCATGATCTCACAGTTTCTGAGTTCCAGCCCCACATTGGGCTCTGTGCTGACAGCTCAGAGCCTGGAGCTTGCTTCAGATTCTGTGTCTCCGCCTCTCTCTGCCCCTCCTGTGCTCATGCTCCGTCTCTCTCTGTCTCTCAATAATAAATAAACATTTAAAAAATTAAAATAAATAAATGAATGAATTTAAAAAAAAAAACAGAGCGCAATAGGCAGGTCTCTTGCATGTTGTGATGTGGAGTGACAAGGAATCTCTCTAAGAGCCTGTGCTGGGTCCTTCTGGAAAGAAGATAGCCTTTCCTCCTTCTCTACCCATGTTATATGGATTTTCTATTAGAACAACATATCATATTACTAAAGATCAGTTTAGATTCAAAATTGAAAAAATGTCAAGGTTTTTACTTTTAAAAAGGATCTTTCTCTGAGTGAAAATCATTAGTAAATTAATATGAAAACTTGGTGTTGAATCTTTAAAAAAAAAATAAAAGGGAGGTACCCGGCTGGCTCCGTCAGTGGAGCATGTGACTCTTGATCTTGAGGTTGTAAGCTCAAGCCCCACGTTAGGCATAGAGATTACTTAAAAATAAAATTTTTATTATTTAAAAAAACCTTTTTAATGTTTATTTATTTTTGAGAGAGAGGGAGAGTGCGTGAGCATGGGAGGGGCAGAGAGAGAGGGAAGCAGAGGATTTGAGGCAGGCTCCGTGCTGTCCGCACTGAGCCCGATGTGGGGCTTGAACTCACAAACTGAAAGATCAAGACCTGAGCCAAAGTGGGACGTTTAACCAAATGAGCCACCCAAGTATCTGGTGTTAGTTTTAACTTGTGCTTTGTTGGTCTTTTTTCAGCTCGTATTGAAAATTGCTGATGTATTTGAGTCTAAGAGAGGGAAAAAGAGGGTAAAGTTACACCCATACACTGGAAAAGACGTACCTCCCTCAAAAGGTAAGAATTGTTGCAGCTGTCCAGAGCTACCAGCATTTGAGGGGAGAGTCATATAACTTAACATTTAGGTAAATTATAATTCTTGGTTTACTTTCATATCTATCCCACTTAAATATAACTTCTTTAAGATAAGGGATTATTTCTTATTCTTCCTCAAATCCCTGCCAATGAGACTAATTTTCATAGGCAGATTGCGTTATTTTATAATCCGACTGATTTATAGTCTCTTTCAATATAGACTCTTTCAGTTAGACTCTCAGTAGAACCGAGAATATTAGGTATATAGAGACCACAGGTATGTGGCACAGAACTGGTAGTCATCTACTAAGTTCAGTAGTAGTTTCATCCTTCAGATGCCTAGATAAAACCTACATTGTCTTTTTTTAAAAAAAAAAAAATCAATGTTTTTTTATTTTTGAGAGAGACAGAGTGAGCAGGGAAAGGGCAGAGAGAGAGGGAGATAAAGAATCCAAAGCAGGCTCCAGGCTCTGAGCTGTCAGGACAAGCCTGACATGGGGCTCGGACTCACAAGTGGTGAGATCATGACCTGAGCTGCAGTTGGACACTTAACCAACCGAGCCACCCAAGAGACCCAAACCTTACATTGTCTTAATTAAGAAACTCCGAACATCCATAGTGAATTATTAGAATTTTCTGAGCCTCATGCAAGATTCTTAACTTGGTTTTCTGACAAAGAACATGCAGAATTTAGCAGTTTTTGTCAAGCGAGAAACAACAGCCAAGTCATAACCAGAGAAGAATGTTTCCTATTTTTGCCAACGTCCAAAGACAGAAATTTCTTAATTTCCCTTGAAAATCTGTTCTGCATTCCAACAATTACTATCTGAAAATAAAATCCTCCCTGCTCCAATTTGAGCCTCTTTCTTCTTACTCTAAAATCAACTAGTCACCATTTTAGATACAAGTTTCCATATTTTCAAAAGCAGTGATCAAAACATGTTCTCATCTTCTCTGCCGCAGAAGAAATCATTTTGGTTATTGCTGCTAATAGGAACCACTTACTGAATGAAGTAATAGATTTTCTACATACTTTATCTCATGTGTAACATATGACAACACTAGGACGCAGGGACTGTCCTTATTTTACAGAAGAAGAAGCCGAGCCAGTGGAGGGAGGAAGTGTCGGTTTGCAGAAAGGAGCATGGTACCATGAAGTCCTACCCTTTTCTGTCACCAACAGTTACTCGCCATTTTTCTCGTGAATCTTGATTTTTAGCAGTTTAATGATTTCTCCATGTGTTTTTTTTTTTATCCTCAACAAGGATATTGTCAAAGGCTTTTTATGTGTATATTTCAGAACTAGGTACAGAAGATGAAAACTGGTGCCAGCTATTATTCTGGACCCTTTTAGACGCATTATCATTAATCTTCTAAATAGCCTTTGTGGCAGACATTATTGTCAACTGTTTCTAGATAAGGAAATAAATTGTAAATTGCAAATTATGTAAGATTTCAAGACACTGGGGCCGGGAGAAATTCTTCTGAAACATTACCATTTTCCTAAATTAATAGCAGTCTACTGGCAGCTACATTCTCGATGCTTATGCTGCACAAGTAGGTTCTTACTGATCTCTTACTTTATTTGTATGTCTTATGCCTTATGGATTAGGAACATTTCAGTAAATGTGGCTCTAAGATAAGTTTTGAAAAGCCAAGTCTTTTTTTCTCTGTATCGTTATTGGAAAAAACTCCACAGAATGAATTGCGAACTTACAACAATCCCTAAGTTGTAACTCTTCCCCACAAGTGTGTTTTTCTTTTGCAAGGCTCAAAGAAAATATGCATTTGCCCAGCCTCTGTAACCAACTCCTCCTGTGGGCCTGAGGAAGTTGTCTCATGCCTGAGGATCTCTTGGCTCCACAGTTACATTTTCAGATTTTGTTTTCCTCCTTAAGCTTTTGTCTGTAGATCAACAATGACTGGTAGAACCAGATAATTGTATTTATCTACTCTGTCAGTACATGCTAGGTTTTACTGAATCTGTTCCAACCTAAACATTTCTTAACTTTTAGTTATCAGTTGTTACAAAAAGATTTATTGCCCTTCTTCAGTTCTGTCATTATAATTTTGTGTGTTGAAGTCACGTGTAAAAAACGGACAACCTATTTCTTTTTTGATCCCTATAGATTCTAAATAGATTTTCCTATTGGCTTGTAAGCAAGCCCCTTAACCATCATTCAGTTTCTTGGAACACGGATCATCAAAACCTACAGATGTGAATAGAGGAAAGCCACCCAAATGAGCTTTTGTAGGGTCTCTTCCAGTTGTATTACTTTTCCTTCCTTTCCCCTTTCGTTTCTTTCTTTCCAGACACTTGATAGGCCCCTAAGAAGTGCCTGATGCTAAGGACACAAACAGGACTCAGGAGCTCACGGTGTTTGTTCCTTCATGCTGAGTAATATGTCATAGCTCCAGTGTGCTTTCTATCATGGTGGTTAATTTGAAGTTTAAAGCCTATAAGATGGTAGCTACACTTGCAGTGAGCACAGCATAATGTATGCACTTGTCAAATGGCTATATTGCACACCTGAAATGTATACAAGAGCATGGGACTATTGGCCATGAGTTCAAGCCCCACATTGAGCATGGAGCCTACTATAAATAAATGAATTTTTAAAAATATTTTAAGTTTAGGGGCGCCTGGGTGGCGCAGTCGGTTAAGCGTCTGACTTCAGCCAGGTCACGATCTCACGGTCTGTGAGTTCGAGCCCCGCGTCGGGCTCTGGGCTGATGGCTCGGAGCCTGGAGCCTGTTTCCGATTCTGTGTCTCCCTCTCTCTCTGCCCCTCCCCCGTTCATGCTCTGTCTCTCTCTGTCCCAAAAATAAATAAACGTTGAAAAAAAAAATTAAAAAAAAAATATTTTAAGTTTATTTATTTATTTTCAGAGAGAGAGAGAGAGCACAGGCATGTGAGTGGGGGAGGGGCAGAGAGATAGAGGGAGAGAGGATTCCAAGCAGGTTCTGCACTGACAGCGCCTGATCATGACCCAAGCCAAGATCGAAAGTCGGACACTCAACCAACTGAGCCACCCAGGTGCCCCTAAAAAAGTTTTTTTTTTAGTAAAAGAAAAAGGGGGTGCCTGGTAGGCTCAATCAGTAGAGCATGCAACTCTTGATCTCAGGGTGGCGAGTTCAAGCCCCATGTTTGGGTATGGAGCCTACTTAAAAAAAAAATTCAAACCCCCCAAACCTATACAGTACACAGTATTTAAATAGGTACTTTTTCTGTTACATGTCTTATGAGGAAGCAACATTTTTTAGCATTCTCTTATTCCTTATCATAAAATTTAAATGAGCACAGCAAATATTGAAATAATGTAGAATGAGAAAAAAATGAAAACCCAAGGTTTCCCAAACCTCCTACTACTCCCAGAAAATTTTATGCACATGCAAATAGTTTTTCTACCCAAATAGTTTTTTTTAAAGAGGAGTGAATAATTCAATTGTGTTGTTTATTTTTTAAATGTTTATTTAATTTTGAGAGAAAGAGAGAGTGCTCGTGGGGGAGGGAGTCACAGAATCCGAAGCAGGCTCCTGGATCCAAGCTGTCAGCACAGAGCCCAGTGCGGGGCTCAAACCCACAAACTGCGAGGTCATGATCTGAGCCAAAGTCGGACACTCAACTGACTGAGCCACCCAGGCGCCCCTACCCAAATAGTTTTTTATACCATTCAGACTTTGTATATCTTGCTTTAAATAAAAAAAAAAAATTAATTAATATATTTCAGAGCTCTTTTAGTATCAACACATAGTAGACATTTTGGTTGTTTCACACTTTATTTAACCTATGGATATTGAAGTTCTATGTGTGTATATATTTTTTTGCTCTGCAAACAATGCTGCATTATATATCTTTTTGTATATAACTTTGTATATTGGTAAGAATACAGCTATAGAATCAGTACCTAGCATTGGACTTAACCAAAAAATATGTACATGTAAAATTTTTATGACTTCTGCCAAATTGCCCCACAGATTATAATAACTGCTTATATTTCTACGGAAAGCATTTGAAAATGACTTTTTCGTATAATCTTTACTAATACTGTGTTTTATTAAAGCTTTTTATTTTTTCCCATGGCACGGTTGAATATTGTAGCTTACTTATTATTTTAATTTACATTTCTTTAATTTTAAATTTGGACAGTTGTCATGCTTATAGAAAGTTATAAATCTTTTTGTATAGATTGTCTATTCCTACCCTTTATTCCTTTTTCTGTTGTGCTATAATTTTTCTAATTCATTTGTAACAGCTATTTGAATATGAAGAAATTTATCCTTGTGTCTGCAATGTGTATCACAGTTATTTTCCCAGTTTATCATTCACGTTTTGAATTTAGTAATTTTTATTAGGGAGAAATTTCCATTTTTATATCATCAAGCTTATATATTTTTCATTTATGACTCCTAGCCTTGTTTTTCTTGCTACAGAAAGTCCTATTTGTGTGCTTAGCATCACACACCCCTTAGTAACCTCTGGAAGTGTCTGGAAAGAAAGAAAAGGGAAAGGAAAGCAGGTTACAGAAAGATTTTTCCCTGTCTGTGCACTTTTAAATTTTGCTTTAACTTTTCAGACTTAATCTAGAAATTTTTCATTCACTTGTTCAGAAAGCTCTGTGTATAAGTGTGTGTGTATGTGTATGTGTGTAAATTGGCCATGTGTCTAGCACTGTGGTGCAAAATACCCCCTTGTAAAAGCATAGCTTCTTATAACCAAGGTACTTAAAATCTGGGGAAAATAAGAGCAGTTCAAAGCAGACTGAGCACTGTAAGAATTCGGAGTAAAGGAATGCTGAATTTGGCCTAGAAGTAGCTTAGAAGCACCATAAAGTAGCTCAGATGTTTCTCCGTAAATTTGTGTGGTTATCCCTCTGAGCCCCACATGTTCCTTTTACTCTGAATTCATGGTTAGTTCTGTGTTGAGGTTTTTATTTAGCCAGGTTGGTGTCTACCTTTGATATCTTGTTTGGGAATATAAGGACAAGGACATGAATGTAGCAATAGAATCTATTCTGAACCAGACTTCTTAGAATCAGGGATGAGCTTGGAGCTGAGGAGGGAGGTGGGGTGTGGGAAGGAGCTAGAGTAGATTAGTTGCCCCTCTGGTCGTGAGCGGCTGTTTTCTTTTGTGACTGCCCTCCCCTGTTGTAACCAGGTGGTCTGGGGAACGGCTCAGCGTCCTTATTACCCCTGACTCCAGGGCTCCCGGCCCATGGAGACTTTTACACTGTTCTCATCCCCATGGACTCCCTACTGTCGAACAAGACAAATAGAAACTCTTTCTCTCTTTTCAGGTGAAACCAGTGGGAACGAAAGTGATGCGGAGTATCTGCCAAAGAGTGAGTGAGTCAGTGGGGCTGCTCCCTTTCTCGTGATGATCATGGTCATGGGTGGAGTAGCACCTGCCTTTGGGATTGAGCATGTTTTTCCCACATTCAGCTTTATTTAGTGGGTGATATTTTTATGATAAGACCTGCTGAAATTTGGGGGACTAAGCAGTACACTGTTAGATGTTCGACAGTGTTAAAAACCTCCCGTGGTGGAATGAGGCAAACAGTACGGCTCTTAAGATGGAGTGTTCTTAGGGGAGCAGCGAAACTGCATGTTCAGACGTAGGTGCAGGAGTTTCCCAGCAGCCAAAACAGAGTATGTGAATCATCCTCTGAGACAAATACATACCATTAAATATCTAATTTTTCATAATCACTCAAGTGTACTTATTTAACTTTGACATCTCTGATACTGAGATAGGAAATATCGATCTATCTCTCATTTACAGACATTTACTTATATTTCAAATTATTGTGCCCTTTGCTTTCTACTAGCACATAGAATCTGCCATACATTTTTTGACTGTATGTGTTCAGACATATCATGGTCTCTGTATCCTTCACGTAATGGATTTTTATAGCAAATTATATAGTTCCTGTTTCACTGACTGACATATCGAGGCATGGAGACAGAGACATGAATTGTCAAAGCTGAGTGTAGGGCAGTTCCGAGTCTGATACTCGGGTCTTATGATTAATAGTCATGTGCTCTCTCCGTTGGCCTGATTGCTTCGGGTGTTTGATTCTGGAGCCTTACTAAGGTGAAACTTAAGTCATCATCAAGTTCAGCCTGGATGTGTAAGGATGACAGAGCTAATGCCGTTGCTGCTGAGAAACAGGACGTAAAATTTTCTTGATTTGAACTGAGCTTTGCCTAGAGCACTAAATGTACTGGATAGTTCGGGGGAGCCATTTCGAGATGAATTTTGAAGTGTTCTTAATATTTGATCCGTGGTGTAACTTCTTTGGGGGCAGAGTGTGTCACATCTCAAAAGAGAAGCAAACAATTAGTCAGAGGCTGCGTCTTTCGATCGTGGCTCAGAATAACACATCATCAACTCTCTGGGCCACTTAGACTATTTCTTCTGCAAGTTCTGCATTTCCTCTACAGGAGACTACCCCAAATTGTCCACAGTTTGGAGATAAATGAGAATAAAGGATAAATGCTACCCAGTTTTGAGTGGAATTTCTCATATTTAAGTAGTATGCTTCCATAATTTCATTCTTTTGAGAAATAGTCTATTAATAGGTGTCTTCTTTTGGTTCATTTTTCCCCTCTTGGATTTAACACCATATATTGATGTAAGCATGTGTCCGTTGTCAGTAATATATGCCAAGGAGAGAAGGGTAAAAGGCAGTTTCTTTAATGTGAGGATATTTATTTTAATTTTATCAAACTCATCCTTCTGTGTACTTAGCCTCTGTAGGACTCTGTTCTTTTATCAGATCTTCCCCCCAGCGTGTACACACACACACACACACACACACACACACACACACACACACACACGTGATTTCATGGTCCCAATGATGAGGGAAACAAAGGCAAGAGAAGTGCAGCTTAAAGTAAATTTCCTTACAGCCTGCAGCCCACTGATAGACACCTGAAACATGCAGAGCGTGGCCTTCCTCAAGGAATTCATGGCTGCCTTCCTGCCTTAATGTTTATGTTTTATTAAAAACTAAAAGTAGAGGCACCTGGGTGGTTCAGTTGGTTAAGCGTCTGACTCTTGATTTTGGCTGAGGTCATGATCTCACAGTTTGTGAGTTCGAGCCGCACATGGGGCTTTGGGCTGGCAGTGTGGAGCCTGCTTGGGATTCTCTCTCTCCCTCTCTCTCTGCTCCCCTTCCCTCAAAATTAATAAATAAACTTTTAAAAAACTTAAAAAAAAAACCTAAAAGCAACCTTATCTTGAGAATAGTTACATCTTCAGGGTCCTGGAAGACCCTGCCTTTAGCATCCGGAAATTCCTTAGAAACTAAGTTCATCTGGGGCGCCTGGGTGGCTCAGTCGGTTGAGCGTCCGACTTCAGCTCAGGTCACGATCTCACGGTTCGTGAGTTTGAGCCCCGCATCAGGCTCTGGGCTGATGGCTCAGAGCCTGGAGCCTGCTTCCGATTCTGTGTCTCCCTCTCTCTCTGCCCCTCCCCCGTTCATGCTCTGTCTCTCTCTGTCTCAAAAATAAACAAACATTAAAAAAAAATAATAAAAAAAAAAAAGAAACTAAGTTCATCTCTATCCCCCCTCCCTCCACACACTCAAAAGTATATAATCAGTCTCTCCTCACAACCCCAGTGCAGCTCTTTCTGCCCACGGGTCCTGTGCCCATGCTATAATAAAACCTCATTTTTGCACCAAAAACGTCTCAAGAATTCTTTCTCAGTCGTTTACTCATGAACCCCGTTTCATAATTTCATCACCAGCCAGTGGCATCTGTTGTCAGGCCAGTGCTTTTACCTGACGTTTTCCACGTATCCTGGTGTTACGCCGCGGAAGATGGGAGAGCACAGAATATGTGTTGGGACGCACCTAGAGTATCGGTTGGGACACCGCGGGCTCCTGGGCACTTGTGAGACTCTGTACTTGTTCCCCAAGTATGTCATAGCCCTCGCAGGGCTGTGTGGCAGACGTCGGTTAGTCAGCACTCCGTCAGCAATGACTGGGTGAAGATTAGTCCTTATGGGTCATGACCTCTGGGTGCTGGAGGGAAGATGGGGCTACAAAGGAAAAACAGTGCTCCCTGATTTCATTGCAGACCGCCACAAGCGCTTAGCCCAGCTCCAGCAGTCTTCCAAGAGGAATCCTCACTACCAGACCTTAGAGAGGGATCTTATTGAATTACAGGAGCAGCAGCTCTTTGAACTTTTTGTGGTGGTGTCCCTCCAGAAGAAGCCATTGGAAATAAGCTACATTCCCCAGGTCATACAGCAGTTCCCTGGCAAGGTAGGTGCAGGGAGACCAAGAGGCGTCCAGGAGTGTTCTCGTGTCTCTGTGTTTTATCTCCGCTCTTCTTTCTATTGTGATCTCAAGCAGCTTTTACTAATACTGTACCTTTTGTAGGATCTGGTAAGTGACTCTGGTGATGTCTCACGTCTGGCCTGAGCTGCAAACAAGGGCAAAATCTTATTATCCAAATTGTTTATTTTATTTTATTTTTTTGCTCTGCTGTTTACTAAGTGCCCTTTAGCAAGTTGCAAAACCTCAGTTTTCTCATTCTTTTTTTTTTTAATGTTCGTTTATTTTTGACAGAGAGACAGAGCATGAGCGGGGGAGGGGCAGAGAGAGGGGGAGACACAGAATCTGAAGCAGGGTCCAGGCTCTGAGCTGTCAGCACAGAGTCCAATGCAGGGCTCGAACTCACAGACCATGAGATCATGACCTGAGCCGAAGTCGGACGCTCAACCAACTGAGCCACCCAGGCGCCCCTCAGTTTTCTCATTCTTGATGAGGGGAACAGTAAATATGACAGAACAGGGTAGCAGTTTAGAGCATGGACTCTTAAGCCAACTCTCTGCACTTGCCACTAATTAGCACTGTGACTTTGAGCAGTTACTTAACTGCTCTGTGCCTTGGTTTCTTCATTTGTAAAATGGAGGTAATCATAATAATGTCTATCCCGTTGAGTTGCAGTGAGGATTAAATGAGCTGTATAAGGCACTTAGAATAGTGTCTAGCATATAGTCAGCACTATAGAATGTTATCCATGATTAGTGAGGGTTTAATAAGATAATGTATTTAAAGTGCTTAACACAGTCCCTGGCACATAGTAAGCACTTCATAAATGGTAGCTATTATTAACAAATATTATTTGATTTTCTCTGTCTTATGCCTGAGAGGGCATAACATTAAAAAGCAAACAGAAACCCCACACTGTAGATTGAGAGAGAAACCGCAGAAGAAAACAAAAAGTTTTATAGTTTATTTTGTATTTAATTTTTCCTGCTATTTGAACAATGGGTCCACAGTTTCATCTTGCAACTGTGCTCTGCAAATTATGTAATGAGCCTTGGTAAGGCGTGATCCCTTTAAATAGGGAATCTCCTCACTCTCCATCTTAATACTTGGGCCATGTCTCTTATTTAAGTTATCTGCTCAGATGCTTTAGGAACTTGAGATTTAAACCCCGACTTATGTGTTTCACCAAAAAAAGCTAGGGGAGCACAACTGTACTGGAATGGAATCTAAGAGACATTTCCTGCATAAGTTCTCATTAGAAAAAAAAAAAAAGTGCTAGGGCACCTGGGTGCCTCAGTTGGTTAAGCGTTTTAACTTTGGCTCAGGTCATGATCTCGTGATTTGTGGGTTTGAGCCTCGCATTGGGCTCTGCACTGGCAGTGCGGAACCTGCTTGGGATTCCTTCCCTCTCTCCCTCTCTTTCTCCACCCCTCCTCCGCTTGCTCTCTCTTTCTCTCTCTCTCTCTCTCTCAGAAAAAAATAACCTTAAAAAAAAAGTGGTCAACAACATTCCTACTGTAAACATAACTGTTTAATTTCTTATAAAATTCTTCAGTGTAGCCTGAGAGCCACAGTGTCACAACACTGAACCATGGAAGTCTAAAATGACGTAATGCAGATAGTCTTGAAGAGTCCAATTTCCCATAAAGAGAAGCTTAATTTTTTTTTCCGATTTTTCAATCAGTCTTACCTTTGCAGAAATCTCGAGGTTGAACATTGTTTTTCAACAAAGCCTGAATTAACGGGCTCAGAGCCAGATAAGGACCCAGCTGAGTCTGGCAGGGATTGAGGGATGTTTCTAAGCAAATTACTTAGCATCCTTGTGCATTAGGCTCCCATAAGTTAAGGAGGGAGAGAGCTGACCAAGTCTCTCTTGATTGCGTTGTGGAAAACCATAAATGAAGACAATTCCGAGTCATTTAACAATGTAAAAATAATAGAAGGTGAGACAACTGAACTTTTGTTAGAATGCTTTTCCGTTTCTGAAGAGCTAAATGAACGTCTAGGTGACTCAGAATGGCTGCATGTTTTGTTTCAGAAATTAAATTAAAGGATTAATTTGTATTAGCTACATGAGGGTGCTATGGCTATAATAGACTTATTTCCTGCTTGTTTCCATACTAATTTTTAAATGTCTTTTGGTTTAACTAAATTTAGATTGTTCTTTTAAGTATGATACCAGACTTGCACACAAAGGCCTTCCACGCTAAAATTTCACAGGAAGTTGCAAACTAGTAATTAGTTAGCAAAGATTATATGCTAAAGGAAATGATTATATATGGGATAGATTCTAAAAATAGTATCTTTTCTTTTTTTTTCTAAATTTTTTAACGTTTATTTATTTTTGAGACAGAGAGAGACAGAGCATGAATGGGGGAGGGTCAGAGAGAGAGGGAGACACAGAATCTGAAACAGGCTCCAGGCTCTGAGCTGTCAGCACAGAGCCCGAAGTGGGACTCGAACTCACGAACCGTGAGATCATGACCTGAGCCGAAGTCGGACGCTTAACCGACTGAGCCACCCAGGCGCCCCAAAATAGTATCTTTTCTAAATAACATTCAAAACACCTTTGACTATTGATCAGAGAGTGTCTGGCACTAACTGGGCTTTTGCTATCAGTGTGCTATAGAATAGGTTTTTGTTTTATGTCCCATGATTTATTAAAATATTGGGTTTCCACTAGTATATGAATCCTGAATTACGATTCTACCTCTAGACTAGAAACTATTTTCAGTCACTCCTCTTACATCAGATTATAGGATCTCCACAAGTAACCATTTCTATGTCAAAATAGGATTCTTTATTCTTAGTAACCGTGTTCTCAGTGTATCTTCAGTGATTACTGGCCTTGGCCTTCCTGTCATGTGAAACAACACAACACTGTGCTGAGATGACTACTTAGGCTTATCAGAGACCTCTTTTCCCATGACTAGGCTGTTTTGTATATATAGTCTCTGCTTACGTAGAATATTAGTCACCTATAAATGTTCCGTTTTTCAGGGTGATCATGGCTTTAAGCAGTCCAAAGACACCGAAGAGAGGCTCAAAGTTATCCCCAAGTTTTGTTTTCCTGACTCAAAAGACTGGGTGCCAACCTCAGAACTCAAGAGGTAAATGGGTTTCTTAATCTGATTTCTCATTTTTGGAACTGCAAAAATAGAATCCGAATGTTTGCGAAATGGGTAGAGCCAGCAGTTAAAGCTATGTGGACACTGTAGCAGGTCAAGGATGCAGTGGGAGGAAAGGAAGAAACAGAATTAGAACATTTCCTATGTGAGTTCAAAAAAGAAAAACATGGAATAGTTTCAGTGTCAAAGGGAAAACGAGTTTGAGAAGCTCTGCAGTTGGCCAGTTCTTGGGGGGGGAAAGTTCCGTTTTATATACAATCAGAAATGCCACCAAGTGGACAGAAAAGGAAAAAGGACTTGGGCTTAGGGACCCTACTTAGGAGGTAAAACAGTGGTGTCTGCACCTTGTTTCTCCTTCAAGTTGACGGAAGTCACAGCCCAGAGTGTACGTTCCCCTGCGAAACTTGTACAAAGGGAGGATCCAGATTGGGAGGTGTGAGCATTATTGAGAAGGGAAGATAAGGAATTTCTTCCTGGTATCTCGAGGGAACTGTGTTCAATTAATAAACAGTTATCCTCCCTGAATCCTGCTTGTAAGTAGATAACTGCTCCGTTCAGAACTGTAATTATTGACCGTGCTATTTAGGCCGAAACGCGTGATTCTGGAACCGTGTCACATGCAGATAACATGCTGGAGGAGAGCCTCGGCTGTTGCCTAAGTAGCTGCTCTGCCTTTCTGCCTCACCTTGTCTCCAGTCTGTGCTGCTGTCTCGCCTAACCAGTTTGGCCTGATGGCCACTCTCCTCTCTGAACCATCAATCCTGATGGTCTTAAGCTGTCAGGTGCACTGCTAACTGCACAAGCAGCTTCTTTCATAATGGCCTGGCCGCTCCATAGCTGGCTTTTCTGCCCAATGAGTTATATGGGTTTTTTTTTTTCTGGAACATTTGGGAAATACAGAGGAATAAATAAAAAGTGGAAGTTATAAGTTGCTGGCATTCTGGCACTCAGAGATAATAACTAAATATGTTGGCATATTCCCTTTCAATCTTTGTTTTTGGCCATATATAGATGTATGTATTCACTGCTCAAATTTGGATTTCTTTGATTATTAATGAATTTCTTTCTTGGTCTTCTTTTTATAAACTATGCAGATGAATTTCTTTCTTGGTCTTCTTTTTATAAACTATGCAGATCTTTTTTTTAATGTTTTTTTGAGAGAGAGAGAGAGAGCACTCAAGAGTGAGAGAGAGTAGAGAAAGAGGGGGAAAGAGGATCTGAAGTGGGCTCTATGCTGACAGCAGAGAGCCCGATGTGGGGCTCGAACTCACGAACTGTGAGATCATGACCTGATCTGAGGTCGGAGGCTTAACTGAGTTACCCAGGTGCCCCTCTCTGCAAATCTTTTGCTTATGTTTCCGGTGAGGAGCTGATAATTTTCCTAGCAACTTTTATAGTTAAGGATATAACCCTTTGCCAATCACTGTTCCATAGGACCTCTCGGAACTAAATAGAAGAATTTGGAAGGGAAAAATACCTTTCCTAAATGTTAGACTTTATCAGATATTCACTAAAAGGAAAATAGGCTTTATTAATAGCTAGACTGGGTAAATAAGAAAGTAAAAGGCAGTGGCATCAGAAGGTCATCCTGTACTTTCTCTCTCACACATACAGTGTCAGGCAAGATATTCTCAGGCCTGGACATTCTTCCTCAGGAGGAAGGTGGCTTGCAATAAATGTGGTATTAATGCCTCCTCTTACATCACAAAATGACTGCTGTTGGACACTAATTTTAAATTGTTTGTTCTGGGGCGCCGGGGTGGCTAAGTTGGTTAAGTGTCTGACTTCAGCTCAGGTCGTGATCTCACAGTTTGTGAGTTCGAGCCCCACGTCAGGCTCTGCACTGTGTGGAGCCGGCTTGGGATTCTCTCTCTCCCCCCTACTCTAAACAAACAAACTTAAAAAAATAGTTTGTTCCATGAAGAATGTAATAATTAGTTGTTTAGATCTCACCTATCGACTATTTTTTTTTCAGTGAAACGTTCTCCTTTGTCTTAACTGGTGAAGATGGGAGCCGCTGGTTTGGTTATTGTAAGAAGCTCTTGGTAAGTACCAGTCTTGTTCTACAGGCAGAGCTGGGCAATAGAGTCCTCAGTAGAGACCAGGGACACCTGGCTGGCTCAGTCGGAAGAGTGTGCAACTCTCGATCTGGAAGTCATGAATTCGAGCCCCATGCTGGGTGTAGAGATTACTAAAAAAAAAAAAGAAACAATAGAATCAGACTAGGAACTTCAGAAACTCTATTTTTCTAGATGAGTTTGAGGGCTGCATAATCACCCATGGATTAAAGAAGCTGCATTAGCTTTAACTAGTAAGAGCGAGGTTGGAGTTAGCAACGAGTGTCCCAGAATAAGAAGGGTATGGACTTCTTTTATTACTTGTGTGTTTGTAATAGATGAAGAAACCAATGACAGAGTGGTTAAATATCAGCCTGGGTCTATTCAAGGGATGGCGTGAATTAAGCCATTCGCGGGAGCTCTGAGTTACTTGCTTCTTGTTTAGATGCTGCCACTAAACCTGGAATAAATCATGCTATCATTTTTTTTAGCATTTTCCAATCTAGCCTTGGTTCCTACTCTGTACTAAAGAGTACTAGGACAGTATTCATAGTTCAAATTAACAAAGACTTGTGCCGCGTCATTTTTGCTTTGATGTGTTTTGTTTTAGCCAGAAGGCAAAGGGAAGCGACTCCCTGAGGTGTACTGCATGGTTAGCCGCCTGGGCTGCTTCAACCTTTTTTCCAAGGTGAGTGCAGAATGAGCCCTGGGAAAGGTGCTGTGCTTCCTGGGCTCCGAGTACGTGTTGTTTCTGATGATTTCACTGGGCTACGTCTTGTGACACGGACTCTAGCATACTACTTTAGGAAGCGTTCTCAGTAGTAGATTAGAGCCACAAGTTTGAAGGTTTACATTCGTCTAGACTAGACTATGTTTACATTTGTCTAGTTCACCGGAGTCACTATGTTGTTGCGTCATCTCATTTTGACTTGCCAAACCTCCCAGCTTCAAGGAGAACGTAGCCTGAAGCTTACCTTGCCTCATGAGTCTCTCCCAGACCCCAAACTGCAAGATATCATGGTCGGTGTCCCCTTCTCTGCCCCTACCGTTGGGAGGTGGAAAGGAGCTCCTCTTCTAAAAATGAGTGGATTGATTTGAGTAACTTTTCTTGGAGATATAAAGATACCCCCAAGAGATACGAGGCCTTTAATGAACTTTTTTTCATTGAGGAAGCTTATCTGTCTTAAAATCTGTTGGTGTAATTTTCAAGTTTGTGCACCAAGTTTGGTAGTTCCTTATGTGTTTGAACTGAGTCCCTAATAAAGTAACATATGTTGCACGTGCAGATTCTGGATGAAGTGGAGAAGAGAAGGGAAATGTCTCCAGCCCTGGTTTACCCATTCATGCGAAGTGTCATGGAAGCTCCCTTCCCAGCTCCTGGACGCACCATCACAGTTAAGAGCTACCTCCCTGGGGCTGGCGATGGGGTAAGTTAGCTCATGTTGAAAAGGCTTGATAGCCACCAAAAAGCAGGCCTTACACTAATAGGCAGAATTTCCAGAAGCCTCAGGGCATAGATTTCCCTTTTCCATAAACCATGCAGAATGTGTTTTAGTACCAAAAATCACTGGTGAAATGGCCAGTTGTGAGACATTGTGAGTTGGTCCAGTTGTGAGATAGTCGAGCCGTCTAGGAGCTAGAGGTTTTCTGCCTTCTGTAGACTGAGCCCTGTTTGTAACAATAGCAGTGTGATAAATGATGATTATACGTGCTATTGTCTGGTAAAATAAAAGGTTTTACCAGAAACTTACAGCGTGAAAAGAAGTTATTAGGGGGCACTGGCTGGTCCAGTCAATAGAGCACGTGACTTTTGAACTCAAGGTTATGATTTTGAGCCCCGTGTTGGGTATAGAGATTATTTAAAAAAAAATAAAATCCTTAAAAGAAATAATTAGGTGTTAGGTCTTGGGAGTAGTTGTAGACAGCTTCACAAACTCTGTAGCAAAACCTTTTTCCTGAATTTCCCCTGTAAAAGAATGACAGGATCCATTAATGGTGTCATTATAGATTGTTTTCCAACCTGAACTCCCCTGATTCGAATTCTTTCATTTCAGTCTATTGAACTCTGCCGACCATTGGATTCCCGACTAGAACATGTTGACTTTGAATGTCTCTTTAAGTGCCTGAGTGTGTGCAATCTCATCCGGGTCTGTGCCTCCCTCCTTTTGGAACGGAGGGTAATCTTTGTTGCCAACAGCCTAAGGTGAGAAATTTGTAAAATATGTCACTTCCTACTGGTATTTCACTTGTTTTCACTATTTTAAAATTTGGGCATTTACAAAAACTGGAGGATCTCAGTTACCTAATGCCATAGTGACGTGGATAATTCCAAATGGTCAGTAATCCAGAGCTATTTTGCATTAGGCTATAGCCGTCACTTTGGGATTGCAGTGAATTTATCTTTCTAAATGTGTTTTACTTAAACCGTTGTTAAATGTTCATACTGCTGGAATGAATAAGTCATGGGATAAAAGGTACACCATGGAGAATATCGTCCATGATACTGTAATGCTAAGGTGACAGGTGGTCGCAACACTTGTGAGCATAGTATAATGTGGAGAGACTTGGAGTCACTATGTTTACACCTGAAACCAGTGTCACATTGGTGACACCTGAAACTAAGGTAACATCAGTATAGCGTGTCAACTATACTCAAACAAGAAATTAGTTGGCATTCCTTTATCTAAGTACACATTAACTTTTAGCAATATAAATTGTGGGGAAAAGCTGGTTAAGACTAAAACTTTTCTGTGAATTAAGTTAAAAATGTAAACAAAATGTCAAAAATTAATGAGTCCTCACAGAATCGCTCATCTGTGATCACTAACCGGTGTCAGGTAATTCTGTAACATCCTATCTGAACCATTCTCCACGTGTTGAGTGCGTCACACCGTTTCTGCTTTCTTCTCTGGCCAGCACCCTGTCAAAATGTGGCCATGCTGTGGTTGCCACACTGTATCCATTCACCTGGCAGCATACCTACATCCCAGTCCTACCAGCATCTATGATCGACATCGTGTGCTCACCCACTCCGTTCCTTATTGGAATCCTGTCTTGCTCCTTACCGCAGCTCCAGGACCTCCCCATTGAAGAGGTGAGATGGGAGAAATAGTACCTGTGGAAAAGACAGGGCACTGACAAATGAAAACAGATTGCCTTTAAGAGTGTTGGAGTCGTCATTCGTATTAAAAGACAATATTCATATACTATGCCATCCTATTTTTGTATCTTTTTATTAAAGTGAGAAAAATTCCATAGTGCACATGAATCCAAAGTTGTGGTGGTGCCATGGGCTCGTTCTTGTGTTATTCCGAAGGGCAGGTCTTTTTGTTTGTTTTAAGTCAAACACAAGAGCTACTCTGGGTTAACTTAAAAAGTTGTTTTAAGGGGCGTCTGGGTGGTTCAGTCGGTTGAGCGTCCAGCTTCGGCTCAGGTCATGATCTCATGGTTGGTGAGTTCGAGCCCCACGTCAGGCCCTGTGCTGACAGCTCAGAGCCTGGAGCCTGCTGTGGATTCTGTGTCTCTCTCTCTCTGCCCCTCCCCTGCTCGTGCTCTTCCCTATCTCTCGAAAGTAAAGAAACATTTAAAAAAAATAAAAAAAAATTGTCTTAAATATAACACACATATAGAGAAGTGTGGTCAAAACAAAATGAATTATCACAAAGTGAATGCTTACGTAAGCCACATTGGAATGGAATGGAAACATCACAGCGGTGGAGACAATGCCACCAACACCTTGAAAAGTCTCCATCAGGCCACCTTCTGTCACTGTTCCCTTCCCACCCCCATGAAAGGTAACCACTGTCTTGACCATTATGGTGTTCATTTACCTGTTTTTCTTTATAGTTTTACATCCTACCCATTTATTCCTAAACAGTATAGTTCAGCTTTGTCTGGTTTTAAGCTTGTTATAAATGGACTCATGTGCAGTGTGTAGACATATATCTTATCTGGCTTCTTTTTTTTGTAGCCAAATATATTACTTTTTATTATAATTACTTCTTTTTTTAACTTTATTTTTTATTTTTTTAAAATTTACATCCAAATTAGCATATAGTGAAGCAATGATTTCAGGAGTAGATTCCTTAGTGCCCCTTACCCATTTAGCCCATTCCCCCTCCCACAACCCTCCAGTAACCCTCAGTTTGTTCTCCATATTTATGAGTCTCTTCTGTTTTGTCCCCCTCCCTGTTTTTATATTATTTTTTTTTCCTTCCCTTATGTTCATCTGTTTTGTCTCTTAAAGTCTTCATATGAGTGAAGTCATATGATTTTTGTCTTTCTCTGAGTGACTAATATCACTTAGCATAATACTCTCCAGTTCCATCCACGTAGTTGCAAATGGCAAGATTTAATTCT